TTTACACCTAGGTTCAGGGCGGAGTGACAGGAAACCGAGCTGCTCAGACAGGACGCAAAACTCGGTGACGGATCAATGTACAAGAAACTGTGACACGGTGTGAAGGCACCTCCTACACCAAAGGCCAAATTTTAAAGCACCTGTTGTTACTTTCATCCAATGTCTGCAAAAGAAGCACCAGAATTTATCCCAAAAATCTCTAACTTTGTACAGATCACCAATTCACAGGCAGTTTAAGGGGACCCCCCCCCAGGCACGATATTTAAAGGAATTTTTCATTTTTATTCTTACCCTTTAAGCGATGTAAAAATCACTGTTCCTTTAAAAACAGGGTTTTTTTGGTCTTTTTTTTTTTCATTGATACATGTCTCCCAGGGCATTACCCAGATCCCCATACCTATTTTATGGCCAATAACTTGCATATAAGCCCTCTTAAAGGGGACCATTGTTTCTTCAGGTTCTACCCCCGCTGACTTGGATTGAGTTCAAGTTCGAAGTCAAACTTTTTGTATGTTCTAAAGTTTGAATTCAAAACGAACTCGGGCCTGTTTGGCCCATCACTACTTAAGACTATAGCTAAAGGCTGAGTGCTGTTAGATTACAGACTTGACAGACAAAGCACACACAAACAGCAAGAAAGCATGATGATTTAAATGGTCAATGACAAATAATAGACAAGGCAACAGTACATGACAAAAAGCTGTTTGAAATATGGAGTGTCCATTCTTTACCTCTCTAATTCTAGGGGGAATCATCTAGGGGGATTCTAGGGAGAATTATCAGGCAAGGATCCTTATTTATCCAATGGTATGTGCATTTTTTCAAACCATATATTCCCTATGGGACGTATGTTCACACCGTTACAGTCCCCTAGATATCTGGCTGTGGTTGTTATTGTTAGGCTCTTACCTTGCCTCTTATCTATGTTTTTAAGGTCTATTTTGACAAAATATACCCCTGCCTAAAGTGGGACATATGGTCTCAGCCTCTCTTCCCCTGGTCTGCTCTGGAGGGCATGGTTCAGGTGCTGCGCCTGGACGGGGCCGCAGGGACGCACACACATCGATTTTATCGGTAGGTGACATGCTCACCCTAAAAACATGTATTATGCACTAAGTTGAGATTCTTTGTTCTAAATTGTGATTACATACAGTATATATATTCCCTTTTTGAACCACATAGATAACTTCCTCCTCTTGAAAAAGCACCGTCAAGAGCGAAACGTCGAGACAAATTGTGCTCCTCCACTGTCAGCCACCCTTATTGTTAAATCTTTGATCATGTGTTCGAATTCAATTAATTAATTCTCCAATCATGTTTTAAAATCATATGTTATTTGATCATGTTATATTTGCTACTTAATCATGTTTTGTATATCTGGTACTGTGAATCAAATCATGTTATTCACACATAAGGGACAGCACAGCAATGGAGTGAGCTTCTAGGGAGTTATCAAATTAGGTTGGTTTTATGTAATTACCCTGTTTTTAACAATTATATACCAAAAAATATATTTTTTTTATAACCCACCGCTTTGGAAGTTGTCAATTGATGCCTATAAAACCCCAGCTTTCCTTTCCTTTTTTTTTGACATTCTTTTGTATGATCAATTAATATTATGATATACTTATTTGGTGACTAGTTTTAGTGAGTATTAATTCTTTTTTATCTAGCAGTCAGAGGACACATTTAAGACATGGAAATAGCAGCCACAACAGCTATTGGAAGGTGTGCACTTTGGGAAAGAATAAAGCCAGACCTCAACTTCATAACAATTGCCAATCGGTGGCAAACCATGTTTCATAGCATAGTTTGTAAACACAAAAACATTTCAAAACCACAACCCAATGAGGCAGTTGTTATGCTTAACCACTTCCGGCTGCAATACGTCTATAGATGGCGGCCTGCAGAAGTGGTTAAATCAAGAACATGGTTGCTGCAGCAGCCGTGTTCTTGGTGTCATTTTTAACAGCCAGCGATGGCTGCTAATATTGAAAAATAACATATAAGAAAAATAAAAAAATGCAAAAAAAAGTCAAATCCCCTGCCCCCCCTGCCCCCCACGTGCACGCACATACACACACGTCGGTGCGCCTACATGCGAAAACAATTGCGCTACAAATGTTACATATTGCCACGTCAAAGTGAGAGCAATAATTCTAGGGCCATAAATCACTGTTAACACTAAACTGATGAGTGGTAAAAGGGTTTAAAGTGTTCTCTGTGGGAAATTTGGGGTATTGATGTTTTTGCGGCTTCACGGGCGAACACAATTTTAAGGCTTGACATGTTTAGTATCTATTTACCCGATGTGACCCCATCTTTTATATTTTACAAAAAATTGGGTATGATATTATATTTCTGTGCACTACATTTTAATTTAGCTTATTTTATCCTAAGAAAACTGGTTTGATAAATATTTGCGCAAAAACCGTGCAACATAAAAAATTGCAACTAGCATTTTTTTATTCTTATTCTACAGGGCCTCTGCTTTCAGAACGTATATCATTTTTTTGGGGGGTTTACGCTGTTTTCTAGCCAAAAATTTATATTTTATCATGTGTGTGCAAATAGTAAGAAAATGCTCTGGACAGGGGGTTAATAAAAAATTACAGTGCCATATTTCAGAGACAGTAGCCAGACATGTAGCACAGTGGCTGGAGAATATATAAGCAGCTTGATTGGGCAGCAATGCAAGAGCTAAGGCATTTTTACCAAGAAGTAAAAATTAGAGTGCATTATTTCTGAGACAATAGCTAGAAATAGTACACAGACATGTTGCATATTGTCTAAGTGCTTTTACTATGTTGCAATGTAAGAGGGAGAGAGGAAGCAGGTTTTATCATGACATAAATATGATGGTGTATTATGTCAAAATCAACAGTCAGAAATATTGCACAGACATGCTGCACATAATGTAAGCAGTTTTACTAGGCTGTAGTGTAAAAGAGAGAGACAACAAAGGATTTAATGTGAAATACAATTTAGAGTGCACTATTTCTGTGACAAAGGCAAACTCCATAGTCAGCATTGAAACAGTTGGAGTAGGCTGCTGTTTAACATCACATGACCACATGTAGCTTAGAGGCATCTCAGACACATTATGTCAGATTCATGCATGCACAGAACACACAGTGCCCCGTGGTTATGAGGACAGGATGTACCGCTATGCAGGCTCCTTCCACGCTACCAGGTTGCCATAGGGACAAGGGGATGCTGCGATCCCAGTATAGCAGGTGGGCATCCCTCCCTTCACATTAATCATATCTGTTTAACTAATAAACGTTTATAATCTATTTATGTTTGCACTGTATTGGGATGAATACATCATGAATTCATAAGGGGTTTATATGGGGTTTGTCACTATTCCTTTTTGTGTATTATTATTTTTTCATCTTTTTTTTAAATAGTTTTTTAATTTTGGTGGGAAACAATGTCATTATGTCATAGAGGTGTTTCTGGGGTATTTGGTGTTCATTTTGTATATAATGGTGTGTGATATGTTAGTGTAGTGTTACTATGTTGCCCTGAGGAAGACACCCAGCGTGGCCCTGAAACATTGCCTGTGTATGATAAACGGTGATGATTATTCAATACCTTAAAAATAAGCAAGGATTTATTACAGGTGTGCTAGTGATTATCTGATCTTCATTAGAGTTTTGCATGACACCATCCATGTCATCACTATGAGCACCACAATCTTGCAAGGTCACAACCCTGTATGGAGTGCAGGTTTTTATAACAAAAAAACACCTGTTCTGTAATACCATATGTAGCTTAAAGGCATCTCTGAAGCACGTCATTTTGAAGAATTTGTTTTTTTCTAATGTCACCATCAAAGTCACATAAAATGGAGGGCCCTTTCCCCACTGAATAGTATTTTTTTTTCCATTGGTGCATGTTTACTCTGGCTATGCCCAGCTCCCCATGCCCTTTGTTTGACAATCCCTTGCCTATTAGTTTGGGGAGAACTGATTTTCAAGATTTTCCTCCTATTAACTTCAATGGGGTTTACATTAACCCCTTGCCGTATGCCCATTGTAAAAATACGGGCGGTCGGCGGATGCTTGCAGCCTGGTGGACGTACATGTACGTGATTTTTTTTCTGCTCATGTGCGCCCCCTAGTGGCAGAATCCTGCCAGGACTGTAAACAGCCATTACCGGCTGTTGTATACAACACAGTGAGCCCCCCTCATCTGCTGCCACGCCCCCCATCTGCTGCCGGTTATACCGGGCTCCACTGTCTCCCCTGCGGGTCAGAGACTGGTTTAGCAGCTGCCTGTACAGAGAACGGAGGAGAAATCAGCATTCTTCCACTAGCTGAAGCGATGTGTATTACATCACTTCCACCTTTAGCTGTGAAGCCAGTGAAGCAGATCTATGGCCAATTTTAGGCATGGTAGTTGTTAGCGATTTTGTGGACACACACAATTTAAAAACTTGACATAATTGGTGTCTATTTACCCGGCGTGACCCCATCTTTTATGTTTTACCAAATAATTGGGTACTAATAAATGATTATTAAATACCACCAAAGGGAAGCTCTATGTGTGCCCAAAAAATGGTATAAAATTCATTTCAGTACAGCATTGTATGACTGAATAGATGTCAGTCAAATTACTGCAGTGCTGAATACTGAAAAATGGCCTGGACAGTATGGGGATTTAACACCCTGGTCAGCAAGTGGTTAAAGTTTGCAATTTGAGAATTTACAATGCGTTCCCTGAATGCACCTGTGAATTGAACTCAAGCATATTCACCCATCAGTACTTAACAGTAGTTCATATGCATAGACTTTCACTAGGAGAAGAGGCAAAGCTCAGCTTGAGAACAACCCCCCACTGTTTTGAGGACTGTGCTGTAAAGCCAAAGGTCATCCATAATTTTCTTCCTTGTTGCCAAACCATGTATCTGCACCCAGCTCATACAACACCTGCCATAAGCAAGAAGACATTGTTGAATACTTTCTTATATCAGTGTTAGAAGCAATCTGCAGTCTTAATGTGAACCTGTGCCCAGATCATGCACACTAAAATATTTGCATATTCTGAACAAGACTGTATTTAGCTTTGTATCTATAGGCAGCATGGAGACTTTTAATTGTCAAAATTCACATCACAGGTAAAAAAAAAAAAAAAAAAATTTCAGAGAACAATACAGCAGGGGTTTCTAAGCTGACTGAAACCCAGATCTAGAGTCTTTGTTGTGATCTTTGAAGAACTTAGAAAATGAATAACTTGAATTAATTATATTAATAATTAAAAGCAGGTAAAAAGGTCAGGGAAGAGTTGTTATTAAAACTATTTTACTGTTAAATGTGTCCATATGTAAATATTAATCTCTTTAGTCTGTGCACAGGCACACCTTAAGCTAGGTTAATTACCACTTAAATAATACAGATGCAGAATATTTAGTTTTTTTTTTACTAAGCTGCCAAAGGCAGCCGAATGAATAACCGAGCCTAAAGGTGCCCATACACCTTACAACCATTGCAAGACTTTTGTCTTGCGATGGTTGTAAGCTAATTAAAAGCCCGTACGGTCTGCCCATCTTGGACAGGCAGATCGCATTTGCGTTCATCGCAAGCCCGCCCCCCTGAGGGGCGGGCTTCCAAATACCGCAATGCTGAACAGGCAGTGTGCGCAGTGTTAGAACTGCTCAGATTATTAAGGGTCTGGTAAGGAAAAATTTCTACCAGACCTAAAGGGTCTGGTATGATTTGGGAGGGGACCCCATGCTGTTTTTTAATCTATCTTTTACAAACTTGCAGGGAGTCGGTCCTTCAGCAGACCGTTCTCTGCCGATTCGCCTGTGTCTTCAGATGTGCAGAGCCGCAGCATATGCGTTTGGCTCAGCTGTGTGCTTCGGCTGCCGTACGGGTTATAGTGAGTAGCGTGTACAGCAGCCCTTTGGTTTGACTGAACCGAAGGGTACATGCAGTCGGAGTGAGCTGAAAGATTAGCCGAACATTCTGCTAAATCCTTTGGCAGCTTAATGAATAACCCCCTTAGTGTCTTTCTAAAACTAGTGACAAAGTATTTTTCAGTATTGCTTGGTTCTTTTTAAATCCAGATATAGGTATAATAATATAGAGCCAGAGTTTAGAATATCCTATTCATAATGTTCCATAGCTTTTTGCACGTGGCACTGAAGTTAAAGGAGAACTATGGGGTTAAGGCTTTTCCCCATAGTTCTCCTTAAGGTAACGGGAGGACACAAACTAGTGTCCTCCCGTCATCCTAAGCGCAGTATACAGCGAGCTACAGCTCGCGGTATACTGAGACGCCACAGTATACCGCTAGCTACTGATCGCAGTATACTGAGACGCCACAGCAGAAGCGGATCCCAACAATTATGTCTGGATCCGCCCAGTTGCGTGAGTGACAGCTAGCTCTGCCTATCTAGAGGCAGAGCCAGCTGTACCCCCCCTCCCCCGTCCGTTCCACCAGTCAGCGCTGGCGGATCTGAGCGGGGAGGGGGAATCCAGCCCCTCCCCTGTCACGGCAGAGAGCTGTGACAGGATCGAGAGGTGAGCGAACGCCGGTATGTGTTCGCTCACGTCTCGATCTACTGACCCGACCTGTGACAGTCTCATTGTCACAGGTCGGCTAGAACTATGAGGTGAGTGAAGAGCACTCACCTCATAGTTCTCCTTTAAGTTTTTTACATCAGTGAGATGTGGGGCGTGCTAGTGTCAGCAGTCATTTTCCTCTGTAGCTTTAAGCATTCAAATAACAGCTGTTTCTGCTGGTTTATTAAAAAATTATTCCCCATGGGTTTTCCAAGAGAGGATATAAAGTATTCCTTCTTTGATATGAACTGATTATAAAAGCATTGGATTACCACCTAGCACATCTTGTACCAAATAATTAAAGAGTACTTCAGCAGCAGGATGGAAAGCAGGAGATGTTTGAGAGAATCATCACTTGTTTCTTGGTAAAGGTGAAGCCTCATTTCGCAACCTGTGTTTGATTGCCACTTACTGAAAATTATTCATATATGAACTGTCCTACGTTGAAAGCAATGCTTAGTAATTATGCCCACAGAGGATAAAAATCAAGAGTTTTCTAATACATTTCTGTTGTTCATATTAGGCATGCAAGTAATTATATTAAGGCAGAGATACTTACCTTATTTTGAAAATGAAAAAAAAATTAAAAACAAAACTTAAAACTTGGAAAGAAGTATTAAACATGTTTAATTGATTTCATATTTGTATGAGATTATGCACATAAATATGTTCTGTCTGGGCTTATTAAATGAGGCAATGTTCAGGAATGAATAGTAACTAATCAGGTTTCTACTTTCTCTGGTCAGATGACAGTAAACTGGTAATATGGTGCTTCTTATGAATAAATGCACATTGTAAAAGCAGTGTCATGAATTAAAAAAAATGTTTTGGCAAAACCCAACAAAAAACACATTCAATACGTGTCTGAAATACATGCGCATTTCCCCATGCTTTGTGTCTTTAAAAATGCCTCAGGTACAGAAAAATTACCTGGTGATCCTGGTAGAAATCAGTGAGCTCAGGACGTCTGTCGTCAGCTTACCTGTTGTGAGCTGACAAGCTGTGCACTCCTCTGCTACAAAACATAGGGGAGGTGTTTTGCAGTCCAGCAGAGGAGAACTCAAGCAAGGCTAACTTTGATTGGAAATTCAGTGCAACAGAGGCAGCATTTTCAACTCACTGGATTGTTGGTAGAATCAACAGCTTTTTTCTGTACATGTAGCATTTTTTTGAGACAAAACATAGAGCATGTAATTCACAGCAGGAACGTGCAGGTCAGGGGATGCAGGTCTGCCTCACCTAGTATTCTAGAGGAAAAATGTGTCAGCTTCAGGTCTGAAGCTGACAGCTTTTTCTCCATTCAGATCGGCTTGTTACAGGTTACACAGCAGGGAAAGCCTCCCCGCTGTAAAACCTGTCATGGAAGGAGCGCTGCCTGTTAATTACAGGCATCGGTGCATCCGGCTTTTGACAGGTAGTTAGGTTTCGCAGCAGCGGGCTTCTCCACTGCTTGTGTAACCTAACCTGCTGAGGCAAGAGCTGTCACAGCCTCTACTCTGTGTTAGAGGCGTGAGCTCTGTGGATGGCTTGGACCAATGGCAAAGCACCATCGGTCCAAGCTGTCCAATGAAAAAAAAAAGAAAAAACCTGTGAGGACATTGATCTCGACGCCTCCCGCGTGACTCAGTAGTGACGAGTGGGTGAGGGACGGGGAGGCTCCTCCCTGTCCCCTCCCTTCCTCCTCCCCACACAGCTTGGTTACCAAGCTGGGGCAGAGCTTTTCAGGAAGGGGTGGAGCTTTCATTGGGATGGGGCGGAGCTTCGGCAGACTGGAAGATGCCTCACCGAGCACAGAAGGCACTGAACATCACTCAACATCACAGGTGCACTGCATATGATTTTTACTCACCATGGTAACGATAAAAAGAAGGTGCACAGCTTCATTCTATCAAGTGATAAAGAGGGGCAGGTACTATTGCTACAGAGGACTAGATGTGAGCCTGGGCTTGATGTGAACCCAATTCACCCAAGCCCACTCAAAACTGTCACCACTACTTTCCCCTCCTGGCTCAATCAGTAAAAATTGCTGCAGCAGAGGTTTTCCTTGCTCCTTTGTGGTAATCCACCTCTCTGTAACTGATTGGGCCAGGGGGGTTTAGTCACAGTTTTGAGTGGGCTTGGGTGACCTCAAGCAAAATGGGTTTGCACCAAGCCCAGGCTCACATCTAGTCTCACTGCCTGTGTTTTTTGTAGAGACATTTGCTCGCCTATACTTCGGCTAAAAAGATCACAAATGTTACGGTTTGCTTCGTGCAATCTACGGAGATCTGCTGAGACCCCCAGCACACATAATATACTCCCCCCTCCCAAGCCCCCCAGCACATATTATATATTTCCCCCTCCCTCCAAAGCCCCCCAGCACACATCATAAACTTCCCCCCTCCCTCCCAAGCCCCCAGCACACATAATATACTTCCCCCTTCCCTCCAAAGCCCCCAGCACACATATTAATAAAGTCCCCCTCCCTCCTTAACTTCCAAGCCTCTTCACCTGCTTTAAACCATGCAGGAAGGAGGCACATCATCGTTCCCTGGTTATCTAGTGGTGATTAGTAAGGTCTAGTGCAGACCTTACTAATGATCCATCATTCGGCCGGAGCTCAGAACTGACAGAGCTCCAGCCAGAGCTGACAGGACAGAGATGCAGACCATGTAGCTGCTCCTGCAAGTCGGGCACGTGGTCCGTCACCGTGTGCCGACTTGTCAGCTGGCTGTGGGCCACTTATTACCTGCTCGCGGGCCGGAGTTGGCCCACGGGCCAGTACTTTGGGACACCTGATTTAGTCCATAATGGGGGAAGCAGTGCCATAGCCTCTACTGAACCACAATGACTGACTATTGATATGGTCGAGAAACAGTTAGACAAAATTAAGGTAAACAAATCACCTGGACCGGATGGCTTATACCCATGTGTCCTCAAAGAATTGAGCTTTGTAATTTCAAAGTCTTTGTATCTAATTTTTAGAGACTCTCTAATGACTGACATGGTACTGAGGATTGGCGCAAGGCCAATGTGGTGCCTATATTTAAAAAGGGATCAAAGTCTTTACCAAGTAATTACAGACCTGTAAGTTTAACTTCAATAGTTGGCAAGATACTTGAAAGTTTGATGAAGGATCACATGCAATTGTTTTTGCTTGAAAATAATATCATAAGCGATAGTCAGGACGGATTCACAAAAGACAGAAGTTGTCAAACAAACCTAGTTTCTTTTTATGAGGAAGTGAGTAATACATAGGACAGAGGAATGGCTGTGGATATAGTATACTTGGACTTTGCAAAAGCATTTGACACAGTTCCCCACATGCGGCTAATGTATAAATTAAGGTCAGTAGGTGTAGAGTATTCAATCTGTAAATGGATAGAAAACTGGCTAAGAGACCGTATTCAGAGAGTGGTGATCAATGATTTATACTCTGAATGGGCTGAGGTTTTTAGTGGTGTCCCCCAAGGCTCAGTGTTGGGCCCCTTACTGTTTAATCTATTTATAAATGACAAAATGACATAGAGTTGTGGATTCAAAGTACTATTTCTGTGTTTGCAGAAGACAGCAAGTTATGTCGTGGAATACAGTCCTTACAGGATGTCTCCAACTCCAGTCACATCGGAATGTGATTGTGTGATTGGGCATCTATTTGGCAAATGAGGTTTAATGTTGATAAATGTAAAGTTTTGCACTTGGGAAATAAAAACATGCATGCGTCATATACTCTAGGGGGAGTATGTTTGGGGGAGCCAATGATGGAAAAAGATCTGGGTGCTCTGGTAGATCATAGACTCAATAATAGCATGCAATGTCAAGCTGCAGTTTCTAAAGCAAACAAAATACCTTCTTGTATTAAAAAGGGTATAGACTGCAGAGATAGACATAATCATGCCCCTGTACAAAGCATTAGTAAGACCTCTTCTGGAATGTGCAGTTCAGTTTTGGGCACGCGAAGGGCAACTAAACTCATAAGAGGCATGGAGGAGCTGCACTGAATTTGTTCTCTCTGGAGAAGAGGCGATTAAGGGGGGACATGATTACCATGTATAAATACATAAATGGTCCATATAGTGAGTTTGGTGACACATTATTCACTTTAAGCCCCAGAAGCACCCTCTGCAGGGTACATTTCTACTCCGTTAAGGAGGAAATCTTACGTAAAGCATGGGACTCTGGCCTTATTGATTTTGATGGGACGTCTATCCAGATTATGCCTGATTTGTCAAGACGCACCCTACAGATTTGTCATCTCCTGAAGCCCCTTTTGGAAAAGATAATTTTTTCTGGAACAAATCAGTTCAGCTTCTTTTTTATTGCATTCACCGAGACAACTACCAGATCTCTTTATCTTCCTGGACACTACCAAGATCTCGATTTCTGATTGGACAGCACCTACCTTACTGTCTGTGCCCTCACTATTAAAGAAGCTTAGATCTGCGCACGCTAGGAGGCATCAGAGCCCTAGCTTACCATCAAATCATTCTTCCAATTAACTGTGAAGTATAACTCGACACTGATGGGTTTTCTTTGTGTTGATGCTACCCTGCATACGAGCTTGGGTATCTTTTAATTGTATGTTCCCACCTTCTCATGTGACTATTGCCGATGTTCACTGGAGCTGTCTTGATAAGTGTGTCCGTTTGTTCCTGGGACTGACATTTTCTTTTATATCTGCTTATGCTGGACTACCTCATGCCTGGCTGATTGCCCCTCAGTGGGCTATCCTCCACTATATTTTCCCAAGACTGAGCTTCTGCGATAAACATCCATATTGTGGACCTTGATTTATCTATACTGCGCTGTGGGTATTGTTTCACTGATGAGGGACCACAAGAATGTACATCTGTTTTTACTAATTTGGCTTTATATTTTGATTGGTTCTAAAAGACTCAATTTACTTTTGTTGCTCAATGTTTTTATGCTGCCTCTCTGGGTT